TATTTATTTATTATTCATTTTTTATTATTTGTTTTATTTTCTTCATTTTTTGCTATAAAACTTACACTTAATAAAAGCTATTTATTTGTTTTACATTTTAATATTTTTAATTATAAAAGTTAATTTAAAACATTAAATTTCTTTTAATTTATTTGATTTGTTTTCCTTTTTCTTTTTTTTATGATTTCTTATTTTTTCATTCTTTGTTAATTTTATTAATTTTTAACTAATCTTATTATTTCATTTTTTTGTTCATTTTTTCCTCCTAATTAACTAGAGTGAAATACCTATTTAATTTTATCTTAATAAAATTATAAAAAAATTATAAAAAAGCTATTTTTAGAAAGCATAACATATCTTTTTTTTTGAAAAAAAATAAATTTTGAAAACCTATGATGGAAAAAAATTCATAAAAAATATTTAAAATCTTAATTTTATAAAATGTAAAAACTGGTATATAAAACTCGCTTTTTCTAAATTTGTATCGTAACTTATTCTATTTAATAACATATTTTTTCTTCATTTTTTCCTTCTAATTAACTATTTAATGATATATTTTTTCTTCAATATTTAAAAAGTATGAAGAAAATTGGTAATGAAGGTGCATCAGGCTTAAATTCTGCTTTAGCGAATTGCATTAATCTCTCAAATTTGACACTTAATCTTTGGTAAAAATAGTTTATTTGTTTTGGATTGTGATATTTTTAATTATAAAAACTAATAAAAAACAATAAAGCTCTTTTTTCTTTTTCTTTTTATTGTGCTTGCTTTTTTTTGTTCTTTCTTTGTTAATTTAGCTCATCATTTTATTTTCAACTTTTGCTTTTATTATTTATTTCTTATTATTTCATATTTTTTCTTCATTTTTTCCTTCTAATTAACTATTTAATGATATATTTTTTCTTCAATATTTAAAAAGTTTTAATTAAATTGGTGAAGTTGGTGCATCAGGCTTAGGTTCTGCTTTAGCAAATTGCATTAATCTCTCAAATTTGACACTTGACCTTGAGTAAAAACAGTTTATTTGTTTTGGATTGTGATATTTTTAATTATAAAAACTAATTAAAAACAATAAAGCACTTTGTTCTTTTTCTTTTTATTGTGCTTGCTTTTTTTTTGTTCTTTCTTTGTTAATTTAGCTCATCATTTTATTTTCAACTTTTGCTTTTATTATTTATTTCTTATTATTTCATATTTTTTCTTCATTTTTTCCTTCTAATTAACTATTTAATAATATATTTTTTCTTCAATATTTAAAAAGTCGAAATTAAATTGGTGCAATTGGTGCATCAGGCTTAGGTTCTGCTTTAGCAAATTGCATTAATCTCTCAAATTTGACACTTAGCCTTTCGTAAAAACAGTTTATTTGTTTTGGATTGTGATATTTTTAATTATAAAAACTAATTAAAAACAATAAAGCTCTTTTTTCTTTTTCTTTTTATTGTGCTTGCTTTTTTTTTGTTCTTTCTTTGTTAATTTAGCTCATCATTTTATTTTCAACTTTTGCTTTTATTATTTGTTCTATTTCTTATTATTTCATATTTTTTCTTCATTTTTTCCTTCTAATTAACTATTTAATGATATATTTTTTCTTCAATATTTGAAAAGTTGGAATAAAATTGGTGATGAAGGTGCATCAGGCTTAGGTTCTTCTTTAGCAAATTGCATTAATCTCTCAAATTTGACACTTAAACTTTAGTAGAAATAGTTTATTTGTTTTGGATTGTGATATTTTTAATTATAAAAACTAATTAAAAACAATAAAGCTCTTTTTTCTTTTTCTTTTTATTATGATTGCTTTTTTGTTCTTTCTTTGTTTATTTTGCTCATCATTTTATTTTCAACTTTTGCTTTTATTATTTATTTCTTATTACTTCATTTTTTTTTTTCATTTTTTCCTTCTAATTAACTATTTAATGATATATTTTTTCTTCAATATTTAAAAAGTTACAATTAAATTGGTGATGAAGGTGCATCAGGCTTAGGTTCTGCTTTAGCAAATTGCATTAATCTCTCAAATTTGACACTTATCATTTCGTAAAAACAGTTTATTTATTTTGGATTGTGATATTTTTAATTATAAAAACTAATAAAAAACAATAAAGCTCTTTTTTCTTTTTCTTTTTATTGTGCTTGCTTTTTTTTATGTTCTTTCTTTGTTAATTTAGCTCATCATTTTATTTTCAACTTTTGCTTTTATTATTTATTTCTTATTATTTCATATTTTTTCTTCATTTTTTCCTTCTAATTAACTATTTAAAGATATATTTTTTCTTCAAAATTTAAAAAGTTTTAATAAAATTGGTGCAATTGGTGCATCAGGCTTAGGTTCTGCTTTAGCAAATTGCATTAATCTCTCAAATTTGATACTTTCGCTTATGTAAAAACAGTTTATTTGTTTTGGATTGTGATATTTTTAATTATAAAAACTAATTAAAAACAATAAAGCACTTTTTTATTTTTCTTTTTATTGAGCTTGCTTTTTTTTTGTTCTTTCTTTATTAATTTAGCTCATCATTTTATTTTAAACTTTTGCTTTTATTATTTATTTCTTATTATTTCATATTTTTTCTTCATTTTTTCCTTCTAATTAACTATTTAATGATATATTTTTTCTTCAATATTTCAAAAGTGAAAATAAAATTGGTGATGAAGGTTTATCAGGCTTAGGTTCTGCTTTATCAAATTGCATTAATCTCTCAAATTTGATACTTTTCCTTCAGTAAAAACAGTTTATTTGTATTGGATTATGATATTTTAAACTATAAAAATGAATATAAATTAAAAAAGCTTTGTGAATTTATTTGATTGCTTTATTTATTTTATTTTTTTATCTTTTTTATTCCACTAAAATTATTTTATTTATTAATTTAAGAATAATTTTTAATTTAAAAGTTAATTCTATTTTGATATTTATTTTAAAATTTACACAAATTTATTATAAAATGTTTAGCTCAATGAATGATTCATAAAAACTCAAGGTAAAAAGCAAGTGTCTTAAATCAAAAAGATTAGTTGTCTTTAATATTCATTTCATTTGATAAACAACTGGTGAAAAAAGTATGAATAAATATAAAATGTTTGAATAGTATTATATATTTTATTATATAATATTTTGAAAAAGTGTTTTTAACCTAAAATATAAATAGATAGATTTTATTATTGATTTTATATTTATAAATATCATTCATATTTTTGTAAGTAAATAAATTATTTATAAAAAATAAAAAAATAAAATTGACTAAAATAAATTAAATCCTCATAAGCAAACCCTCTGGTTTCTCCAAAAATGATCAAATAATTTGAAACTTTTAGTGTTATATTACATTTTATTAAATTATATAAATGCCAAACTTTTATATGCCAGTTATATTTTAATCTTAAATATTATCCATCAATTATATTTCTATCCTTTTTTTATTTATCATGATTAATTAGATGCCATGATTTAAATAAAACCTCAGGGAGAAATCAAGTTTTACTTTTTATTTTAACTTTTGTGGTATTAATGTTTTTTTTTTTTTTCTAAAATTTTTAATTTATCTTATTATCATTTTTTTGATTTTATATTTTTTAAAATCATAAAATAATTGTTTTTAAATTATCATTTATTGATTCAGACAATACAAATTTATGTTTAGAAAAAATTAATGAATTTAAAAGTCGTTAATGTTGAATTTGGCTTTTCATAACTTATTTCATATCAAGAATTTATGTAATTTTTTTTTAATGTCGTATTATAAATTTTAAAATGCTTATTTGTTTGATTTTTATTATAAAATGTTCTCTAAATATTCTAGCAAAATGCAAATCGGAGGTTTGGGGGTTTTACTTTATCTTATCTATGTTTACTTTTGAAATAAATATGTACGCATTAGCAAAAAAATGCAAGATGTGAAAATAGATGCTGAAAATTATCTATGTTTTTGGAGTCAATCATTAATTTTTTTTTTGATATTTTAAATTTACTTCAGTGGCTCTATAAAAAAATTTAGTTCATTTTTTTTCCATGTATTTATTTACTTATTTTATCAAGATAAATTATTTTGAATGCTAAGTAATATAATTTGGTTTAATTAAGAAGGATTGATAGTATATTTATTTATGTATTCCTATTTGCATATGTTATAATCATTCAACAATAACTAAATTTATTTAATGATGAATTTCCATTTAGAGTATGTATCATTCATTTTAAACAGATGTAAGAGAGGTGAATCAAATAATTGTGATAGTTTTTATAATTATTATAAATTAAAAATTTCTTCATTTAAAAATAAAAAGAATTTCGATAAAAATACTGATATAAATTATTTTTTTAAAGTCTATTCAATTTATGTTTAAAATTTAAAATTAAAAAATTATAAAATTGAACTTGTATTAAAAATAAAAATAAATATTTGAATTTACTTTCTAAAAAAAATAATTTTCAAGGTGCTTGACATATATTTATTTTATGCATTCTTATTCTAATTTCATTAATAATCTATTAATCAGTTTAATATGACTTATTACATTAAAACATGAAGTTTTTACTTAAAATTTTTTTTAATTAATACTAAAAATTGTAATTAGTTTAATTAATTTCTCAATATTTATTTTTTAAAAATATCTTAACAGTTTATTTTTTTTTCAGTTCTCCAGTTTAATTTTAAACTTCTTATCCAAGCAATAAATTGTATCTATAAAATTTATAAATAATTAATGTATAAAAATAATTAATAAATCAGTTAGTTAATGAGTTATTTTGCTAAATATATAAAAAAGTGCTTATTTATGTTTAAAATAAATTAGGAAGTTGTTTTAGAGAATAAACAAATAAATTTAAATGCACTAAAATTAAACAAAAGTAATTTATGAGTTTGTTTGTTTGTTTGTTTGCTTGTTTGTTGTGGATCAAAAGATTTTTGAAACCCATTTGTTTTGAAGTTTAAATCTCACAAATATATTAATTATTAAAAAAACTAAATAAATTGACAGCTAAACTAGTTAAATTACCAAATACTGAGATTCAAATTTTTAATATTTTCGCACTTCACTAAGTAAATTCTAATATTCTTAGTTCCATCTTTACCAAGATCATTCCCACTATGAAAAATAATAAATAATGAATGAATGTAATAAAAATACAAAAGAAATAGAATTAATAAGTTAATCAATTATTTTTCTAATAAGTTTAAGAATGTTTATTTATTTATTTATATTCAATTAATTAAATGGGAAACTATTTTATTTCAATACAAAAATTAATGAAAAAACTAAAAATAATTTATTAGTTTTCAATCAATCAATTCATTTTATAAATCCATTTATTTTTTAAGTTAAAATTTCATAAAAATTTCAATTCAAAAAACTAAATAAATTAATAGTTAGTTAGTTAATTAATTAAATTACCCAAGTTTGAGATTCAAAGATGTTAATTTTTGGCACTTCTCCAAGCTTATTCCAATGTTCTAAGCTCCATCTACATCAAGGTTATTCGAACTATGAAAATAATAAATTAATAATTAATGTGTTGAAAATAATGAAAATAAATTAGAAGTGTAATTAACTGAATAGTTTATTAAATTCATAAACAAATAAATTTAGATGAAAAAAAATTAATTAAAATTTAAAAAAAAGTTTATGGGTTTTGAATTAATCAATCACCTGAGATCAAGACTCAAAAATGTTATATTTTTGCACTACTCCAAGCTCTTTCCAATATTCTTAGCTCCGTCTGCACCAAGGTTATTTGAACTAGGAAAATTATAAATAATAAATTTGTTGAAATTATTGTAAAAAATCGAAAATAAAAAAGTAATTAACAAATAATTTCCCTAAACAGTAAAAAAGCATTTAATATTTGCTATTAATTGATAGGAAAATTGTTTCAATTCATAAAAATATAAATCAAAAATCAAAAAAAGAATTTATGAGATGTGAGTTAATAAACTAATTTTCCTAGTTTAAATTTCACAAATGTATTAATTAAAAAAATAAATAAATAAATAAAACATTAAATTACCTGAGATTGAGAATCAAAGATGACATATTTTTTAATTTCTCCAAGCTCATTGCAATGTACTTAGCTCCATCTGCACCAAGGTTATTTGAACTAGGAAAATAATAAATTATTAATGAATGGAAAATAATCAAAATAAATTAGAAAATAAAAAAAAGTTTTACTAAACAAATTAAAAATTAATTATTTTTTTATTTTTTTATTTATTTATTTATATGTAATTAATTAGGATTTTGTTTCAAATCATAAACAAATAAATTTGGATCACAGAAATTAAACAAAAAAAATAATTTATTTTCCAAACATATTGTTTTAAAGTTTAAAAATTTTATAAATTAATTAATTAATTAAAAAAATAATATAAACTTAGTTAAATTACCTTAAATTTAGATTCAAAGATTTTAAATCTTAGCACTTCTCTAAGACCATTCCAATTTTCTTAGCTTCATTTGCACCAAGGTTATTCTAACTATGAAAATAATAAATAATGAGAATGTTGAAAATAATCAAACTAAAATAGAAAAGTAAGAAACAAATAAATCAATTAATGAATGAATTTATTAATCAGGTTAAAAAGTACTTTTTATTTATTTATATATAATTTATTGGGAAGTTGTTTTATTTAAAAACAAATAAATTTAGATGCATAAAAATTAAACAAAAATTAATAAAAGAATTTATGCATTTAGTAAGTAATATTTTAATTTATTTAAAATGTAATTAATTTTATTTTATTTGGTGGAAAATTTGGTTAATTAAATATTTACTTGAATTATTTATTATTTTTTTTAAAATATATCAAAATTTAATAAATTCTTAAAATCAAAAAATCCCAGAAAAATGAAAGTAAAACCAAAATAAGCTTATAAAAAGCCAAATTCAGCATTAACGACTTTTAAATTCATTAATTTACTCTAAATATTTATTAAATAAAAAAATCAAATTTTTATTGTCTGAATGAATAAATAATAATTTAAAAAAACAATTATTTTACGATTTTAAAAAATATAAAATGAAAAAAATGATCATAAGATAAATTTAAAATTTGAGAAAAAAAAAACAAACATTAATACAACAAAAGTTAAAATAAAAGTAAAACTTGATATCTATCTGAGGTTTTATTTAAATTATGGCATCTAATTAATCATGATAAATAAAAAAAGTATAGAAATATGATTGATGGATAATATTTAAGATTAAAATATAACTTTCATATAAAAGTTTGGCATTTAAATAATTTAATAAAATGCAATATAACACTAAAAATTTCAAATTATTTGATCATTTTTGGAGAAACCAGAGGGTTTGCTTATGAGGATTTAATTTATTTTAGTCAATTTTATTTTTTTATTTTTTATAAATAATTTATTTACTTACAAAAATATGAATGATGTTTATAAATATAAAATCAATAATAAAATCTATCTATCTATATATCTATCTATCTATCTATCTATCTATCTATCTATTTCTATTTTAGGTTAAAAACACTTTTTCAAAATATTATATAAATAAATATATAATACTATTCAAACATTTTATATTTATTCATCCTTTTTTCACCAGTTATTTATCAAAAGAAATAAATTTTAAAGACTACTAATCTTTTTGATTTAAGACATTTGCTTTTTACCTTAAGTCTTTATGAATCATTCATTGAGCTAAACATTTTATAATAAATTTGTGTAAATTTTAAATTAAATATCAAAATAGAATAAACTTTTAAATAAAAAATTATTCTTGAAATTAATAAATAAAATGATTTTAGTGGAATAAAAAAGATAAAAAAATAAAATAAATAATGCAATCAAATAAATTCACAGAGCTTTTTTATTTTATATTCACTTATATAGTTTAAAATATCATAATCCAATACAAATAAACTGTTTTTACTCAAGGTAAAGTCTCAAATTTGAGAGATTAATGCAATCTGCTAAAGCAAAACCTAAGCCTGATGCACCAATTGCACCAATTCGATTGTTACTTTTTAAATATTGAAGAAAAGATATATCATTAAATAGTTAATTAGAAGGAAAAAATGAAGAAAAAATATGAAATAATAAATAATAAAAGCAAAAGTTGAAAAATAAAATGATGAGCTAAATTAACAAAGAAAGAAAGAACAAAAAAAAAAGCAAACACAATAAAAAGAAAAAGAAAAAAGTGCTTTATTGTTTTTAATTAGTTTTTATAATTAAAAATATCACAATCCAAAACAAATAAACTGTTTTTACTAAAGGTTAAGTGTCAAATTTGAGAGATTAATGCAATTTGCTAAAGCAGAACCTAAGCCTTATGCACCTTCATCACCAATTTAACTCTTACTTTTTAATTTTTGAAGAAAAAATATATCATTAAATAGTTAATTAGAAGGAAAGAATGAAGAAAAAAGCAAAAGTTGAAAAATAAAATGATGAGCTAAATTAACAAAGAAAGAACAAAATGTAAGCAAGCACAATAAAAAGTAAAATAAAAAAGAGCTTTATTGTTTTTAATTAGTTTTTATAATTAAAAATATCACAATCCAAAACAAATAAACTGTTTTTACCATAGATCAATTGTCAAATTTTAGAGATGAATACAATTTGCTAAAGCAGAACATAAGCCTGATGCACCTTCATCACCAATTTGATTGTAACTTTTAAATTTTTGAAGAAAAAATATATCATCAAATAGTTAATTAGAAGGAAAGAATGAAGAAAAAGTATGAAATAATAAGAAATAAATAAAAAAAGCAAAAGTTGAAAAATAAAATGATGAGCTAAATTAACAAAGAAAGAAAGAACAAAAAAGAAAGTAAGCACAATAAAAAGAAAAAGAAAAAAGAGCTTTATTGTTTTTAATTAGTTTTTATAATTAAAAATATCATAATCCAAAACAAATAAACTGTTTTTACCTAAGATCAAGTGTCAAATTTGAGAGATTAATGCAATTTGCTAAAGCAAAACCTAAGCCTGATGCACCAATTGCACCAATTTAATTATCACTTTTGAATTTTTGTAGAAAAAATATATCATTAAATAGTTAATTAGAAGGAAAAAATGAAGAAAAAATATGAAATAATAAGAAATAAATAATAAAAGCAAAAGTTGAAAACAAAGTGATGAGCTAAATTAACAAAGAAAGAACAATAAAAAAGCAAGCACTATAAAAAGAAAAAGAAAAAAGAGTTTTATTGTTTTTAATTAGTTTTTATAATTAAAAATATCACAATCCAAAACAAATAAACTGTTTTTACTTAAGATCAAGTGTCAAATTTGAGAGATTAATACAATTTACTAAAGCAGAACCTAAGCCTGATTCACCAATTGCACTAATATTATTCAAACTTTTTAAATATTGAAGAAAAAATATATCATTAAATAGTTAATTAGAAGGAAAAAATGAAGAAAAAATATGAAATAATAAGAAATAAATAATAAAAGCAAAAGTTGAAAAAAAAATGATGAGCTAAATTAACAAAGAAAGAACAAAAAAAAAACAAGCACAAAAAAAATAAAAAATAAAAAAAGAGCTTTATTGTTTTTAATTAGTTTTTATAATTAAAAATATCACAATCCAAAACAAATAAACTGTTTTTACCTAAGATTAAGTGTCAAATTTGAGAGATTAATGCAATTTGCTAAAGCAGAACCTAAGCCTAATGCACTGTCATCACCAATTTGATTGTTACTTTTTAAATATTGAAGAAAAAATATATCATTAAATAGTTAATTAGAAGGAAAAAATGAAGAAAAAATATGAAATAATAAAAACAAAAGTTGAAAAATAAAATGATGAACTAAATTAAGAAAGAAAGAACAAAAAAAAAGCAAGCACAATAAAAAGAAAATGAAAAAAGTGTTTTATTGTTTTTAATTAGTTTTTATAATTAAAAATATCACAATCCAAAACAAATAAACTTTTTTTACCTAAGATGAAGTGTCAAATTTGAAATATTAATGCAATTTGCTAAAGCATAACCTATGCCTGATACACCTTCATCACCAATTTTATTGTTACTTTTTAAATATTGAAGAAAAGAAATATCATTAAATAGTTAATTAGAAGGAAAAAATGAAGAAAAAATATTAAATAATAAAAACAAAAGTTGAAAAATAAAATGATGAACTAAATTAAGAAAAAAAGAACAAAAAAGAAAGCAAGCACAATAAAAAGAAAAAGAAAAAAGAGCTTTATTTTTTTAATTAGTTTTTATAATTAAAAATATCACAATCCAAAACAAAAAAACTGTTTTTACCTAAGATCAAGTGTCAAATTTGAGAGATGAATGCAATTTGCTAAAGCATAACCTAAGCCTGATGCACCAATTGCACCAATTTGATTGTAACTTTTTAATTTTTGAATGAAAAATATATCATTAAATAGTTAATTAGATGGAAAAAATGAAGAAAAAATATGAAATAATAAGAAATAAATAATAAAAAACAAAAGTTGAAAATAAAATGATGTACTAAATTAACAAAGAAAGAACAAAAAAAAAGCAAGCACAATAAAAAGAAAAAGAAAAAAGAGCTTTATTGTTTTTAATTAGTTTTTATAATTAAAAATATCACAATCCAAAACAAATAAACTATTTTTACTATAGGTTAAGTGTCAAATTTGAGAGATTAATGCAATTTGCTAAAGTAGAACCTAAGTCTGATGCACCAATTGCACCAATTTTATTATCACTTTTTAATTTTTGAAGAAAAAATATATCATTAAATAGTTAATTAGAAGGAAAAAATGAAGAAAAAATATGAAATATTAAGAAATAAATAATAAAAACAAAAGTTGAAAATAAAATGATGTACTAAATTAACAAAGAAAGAAAGAACAAAAAAAAAGCAAGCACAATAAAAAGAAAAAGAAAAAAGAGCTTTATTGTTTTTAATTAGTTTTTATAATTAAAAATATCATAATCCAAAACAAATAAACTGTTTTTACTTAAGAATAAGTGTCAAATTTGAGAGATTAATGCAATTTGCTAAAGCAGAACTTAAGCCTGATGCACCAATTGCACCAATTTGATTATTACTTTTTAATTTTTGAAGAAAAAATATATCATTAAATAGTTAATTAGAAGGAAAAAATAATGAAAAAGTATGAAATAATAAGAAATAAATAAAAAAAGCAAAAGTTGAAAAATGCAATGATGAGATAAATTAACAAAGAAAGAAAAAAAAAAAGCAAGCACAATTAAAAGAAAAAAAAAAAAAAGCTTTATTGCTTTTAATTAGTTTTTATAATTAAAAATATCACAATCCAAAACAAATAAACTGTTTTTACCTAAGATTAAGTGTCAAATTTGAGAGATTAATGCAATTTGCTAAAGAATAACCTAAGCGTGATGCACCAATTGCACAAATTTTATTCAAACTTTTTAAATATTGAACAAAAAATATATCATTAAATAGTTAATTAGAAGGAAAGAATGAAGAAAAAGTATGAAATAATAAGAAATAAATAAAAAAAGCAAAAGTTGAAAAATAAAATGATGAGCTAAATTAACAAAGAAAGAACAAAAAAAAAGCAAGCACAATAAAAAGAAAAAGAAAAAAGAGCTTTATTGTTTTTAATTAGTTTTTATAATTAAAAATATCACAATCCAAAACAAATAAACTGTTTTTACTTAAGAATAAGTGTCAAATTAGAGAGATTAATGCAATTTGCTAAAGCAGAACCTAAGTCTGATGCACCAATTGCACCAATTTTATTATCACTTTTTAATTTTTGAAGAAAAAATATATCATCAAATAGTTAATTAGAAGGAAAAAATGAAGAAAAAATATGAAATATTAAGAAATAAATAATAAAAGCAAAAGTTGAAAATAAAATGATGAGCTAAATTAACAAAAAAAAAAAGAACAAAAAAAAGCAAGCACAATTAAAAGAAAAAGAAAAAAGTGCTTTA